ACAGTCTTACCTCCCATTATTCACAGTTGGCTCCTTCTATATGGTAATTGCAGCAAGGTTAAAAATGACCTAATGATTGCATTAGTTTCCACATAACTTCCCTCTCCTCACTCCTCTCCGACCTCTATCCATAACAGAGATTACTGAAGGACAAGCAGAAAAGTAAAAAGAATGCCTGAATATAGGTTGTCATACCCAGCCCAGCTGTTGCTAATAATAATTTTCCAAGTCCTAGCACTGGATGAGCCGTTTGTCACGAATGATTTATTTGATGAAATTAGCTCTCTTTCACTCCTTGCAAACTTCCTCAGTCAAATGATGGAGCTGTTCAAAATTGTTCATTCTGAATGTAGGCCCAGGTGACTGTTTCCCTCCTCAAGCATGACTCCATGGATTAAATGGTGTGCTGAGGTGCAAGTGTTCAATGGACTCTAATGATTGTGGATGTCTCTCCTTTTAACTCTACTGTTTGGGCAGACAGATCATGGTACTGATGTTCAGCAGGCAAAGGCCAAATTGTTCTGAAAATCTGCCCCTTAAGGGATATCTTGGTTGTTCATGCAAAATCAGTAATTGCTTCTGAAAATTCAGCCCAGTGTCTATTCATTATATGTCATTACTTACATCTGTAATGTGGCAGGTATTATCATTCCACAACTGAATGAATAAATTTCTGCAAAATGAAGACTAGATACCCACTAAAGAATGAAAAAGAAAGTTGCTTTCCTTACAGATGGAAATAGGTGTTCATATAGATACCTTTTGCCTCCCTTCTGATGCTGTGGTCTGAACTGAAATGCCTACCAAACTGAGATTTTTCCTAACATACCTGTCATATTTTATCATTTTATTCCCCTAGTTAGCCTTGAAGCTTCTGAGTACTGGAGGATAGATGCTGGGCTTTGACCTCAGCTGGGACTCATAGTTCTTATTATATTATATTCCTATTAGTTAGCACGCTGTTCTTCAAGGATTAAATTTATCCAGTGACAGTGTCCTGGGACCTTTCTGGGCTTTCTTTGTTCCAATTTCAAACTGTATGACTTTGAAAAAGGAAAAAAATGCATTATTAATTTGTGTACATTTCTCTCTTCAAGGATGATTATTGTTGATTTGATCACAGGAATGGTTTTTACATTTATGCCAATGCCTTGTAAAGTCCTTCCTTCCATTAGGCAGGTTGCCCAGAGAAGCTGTGGGTACTCCATCCCTACAGGTGCTTAAGGCCAGGTTAGACACAGTACTGTTCTGGTGGGTGGCAGCCCTATCCATGGCATGGGGCTTGGAGTCAGATGATCTTTATGGTCCTCTCCAACCTAAGCCCTTCTTATGGTGTTGTGATTCTATGGTCTTGTCAGTGCTCATCCATGGTCCTTACACTCACAGGTCTCCCCTGAGTGGTGGATAACAGCTTCTAGAACAGTAAACACATCTGGATGATGCAGTTAATTAAAAACAAACAAACAATAATAATAATAATAATAAAACAACAAAACAAAAACAAAAAAACAACACAGCTTGGGGAGAACTGTGGATGGTCCACCTGGAGTTGACACCTGTGTCTGATGAGGAACCAGCTTAACTTATTTAACTCTCCTGAACTGTAACTTACAATGTTACTGGAATCACAACATGAAGAATGTGTCCTATATAAGGCCTATTGAAGTCCCTAGCCATTTGCAGCCAGTTTGTAGCCATTTGTACTATTATTTAGTCAGGTTATAGAGCTATTAAGTCTGGTAGCTATATGCAGGCATGATTGACACATACGCCTTTATAGGCAGACAAGATAATGTAATGAAAACCATAATAAGAGAAGATAGGGGCAAAGTAACACAGGGAAAGGCAAGGGGGAAGAAAAGGTGATTTTAGTTCTTTGTCTTCCAATAATCACTGCACAGCTTGACAACTGATTTCTTTTACCCTAATCTCAGCATGCATCTCAAAAATGCTACTGGCCATCAGATTATCCCAGCAGATCATTAAATTTTCTTATCCTCCGGACTTATGTATGCTGTGGAACCATCCACGGATAATGAGCAGCCTGCTGTTGCACTCACCTGGTGAGGGTCGATGTGTTTTATGGAAGCTTTCCACATATTCTCTTTAATGAATGAGTCCATTCTTTTTATAGAATTCTCCAAGGAGGGAAAAAAAAAAAAAAAGGAAAAAAAGGAAAAAAGCAGCTTTGTTTTTTTCTTTTTTTCTTTTTGAGTAGAAACATGATATTCTTCAGACAAATTCCTTGTTATCAACAGGAAACAGCAATAGGTGATCCAAAAGCCGTGTATGATAGTTTGTGGAAATATATGCTCTTCAAAATTCATATACATGATGCTACTCTCCTGTCTTCTCTGAGGGCTCCAAGTCTGGGAAAGAGAAACAGGTTCCATCTGTAATTACTCAAATAGCCAAACAGATTAAACACGAGGACTGAACTGTTACAGCTTCTAGTGACAAACTCTACATGGGCTATAGCAGTACTACAAAAGAAAATCAGTGTATCTGATCACAGACAAACTTACCACCTCAGATAAACAAGTGCAAGACACACTTTTTGTCTGAACAGCTTTAATAGTAATTAATAAATTTGCTCTAATAAAAATCCTGCTGGCAAAGAGCCCTTAAATGTGACATTATTTACATAATTTCCTGCAAAGAACAGCTGCGTAGCCCTCCACTCTGGCCATAACTTCTCAGTTGTAGTGCTCACACACCCAAACATTCACAAATCTTAACTCACCTGCCTGGCATTTATGATGCAGAGCAGCTTATGGAAGAGGTGTGCCTCTGGGAAAGCAGCACCTCATATCTGCAACGTAAACATCAACAGAGTCATCTGGGTCCAGATCTGCAGTCAGATCCATACTGGAAACCACTGGGATGTATTATATTGGGTTCATATTTACTGCTGGCTTTTAATTAGTCTGCATAGTTCATTTCCACATCTGCTTTCCTATAAACAAACCACTAATTAGTTCAGTGAGTCAGTTAAAAACTGTACCATTGTGCCAGATAGTTGAAAGAGACACTGAAAATATTTGAAACACAGTCCATTTAATTTTAATTATTTTTTAAAAGGAAAGTATGAAAAAAAAATAATCTCCTTCCTCTGAATTCCTCTGCTAATTTCAGGGTAGACGTGAAATTGTGACTGTGTCAAAGACTTGTGTGTCTCCTGAGCAAACCCACTCTGGCTTTAAGCTTTCTGATATATTCTGCTGCTTAGGTTTACTCAAGTGGTAGCTCTGGAAGCACTGCTGGTGCTTCTGAAGCCTGATTACTCACCTGAAAAAGTCAAGTTAATAACATAATTTTCTCAATACTCAGCCCTCCTGACCTGCAATAAAGCAATGCAGTTCTCTGAGCCAGATTATTGTACACGGTCTGTACAACTTATGGAGATAAGGCATTTCTTATAGGACAGAAAGGTGAGAACATCTCTCTCCCCACTCACCATGGGAAATGAGCAGAGCTCCCTACTTCCTTCTCAGGGAAGGTGCTGTCTGCATCCTTGCACAAACGTCTTCTGGATAAGCAATTCCTTCAGGGCCTTTCAGTATCTAAATGGGGTCTGTAAGAAAGAAGACGACAGACTCATAAGCAGAGTCTGTTGTGATAGGACAGGGGGAAATGGTTTAAAATTAGAAGAGGGAGATTTAGACTGAATGTAAGGAAGAAATTTTTTGTAGTAAGAGTGGTGAAGCACTGGCACACGTTGCCCAGAGATGTGGAAGCTCCGTCCATGGAGACACTCAAGGTCAGGCTGGAGGGGCTCTGTGATCTGATGGAGCTGTAAGTGTCCCTTTCCATTGCAGGGAGTTGGACCAGATGACCTTTAAGGGTCCCTTCCAACTCAGTTCTACAAATCTATGATTCTTTGGATAGGAGAGCAGACATCTTGTGTAGAAGTGTTATTCTCTGACTGATCCCTACCCCAAGCTTCTGAAATTTCAGTGGGTTCAGGCATTAAGTGAAGCACAGAGGATTGGGTCAGGCCTGCATGGGGAAAGATACAACCTTGGTGTATGCAAATGCATTTAAACAAAAAATGAAAGACTTAGAGATCTCATTAGACTTTGAGGTTCCACTTAAGTCTTGGTTTTACATAACTAAATCATTTATAGATTCTGATTGAGAGCCTCAGGACAATGCAACTATCCTTCCTGCTTAACCTTGTATCACTTGTAACAACAGAAGGTGAAATAATTAGCTTTTTTTAAAATTTAATTTTTTTGAACACGGGGTTTTGCTTCCCAAGCTGACTGCTCCTTCAGAGCCAAGAGCCTAGTTTTGGGTGTCCCCCTCATGCCTGCTCTTCAAGGTAGCACCTAATCATAGATTGGCTTAGGATAGAAGGGACCTTTCCAGCCCTCTTCTGTGGGCTGGCTGCCACCCACCAGATCAGGCTGCCCAGGGCCCCAACCATTTGGCCTCATACATCTCCAGGGCATTAAAACACAGCAAATTTCCTCCATCCTCCTTACATTAATATGAGGCTGCTAGCACACCAGCAATTCAAATCTCTGCTCTCCACTGGTGAGACATTGACTCAGATGAACTTCTAAGAGGGTACTGTGGCTGAGGACCAGCAACTTTACTTCACAAGGACTTTAATGGTCCAAATACACTCTACTTACTCACATAAGGGGAATCACTGATGCAGTTTTGACCTCACTTTGATGCAGCAATCTATTGATGTGAGGTGACGCTGCAGCAAAGCAACAAGGTTAGATCTCAGCAGTGATTAAAGCTGAGTTCCTGAAGGGATGTTTACATCCTGTGTTTGCAAGCATGCAGGGAGGTGACTGCAAACAGCACAAGGTGCTGCTCTGAGCGTGCTCTAGCTGCCTGCACACAAACCACAGAGAAAAGCAAAATGGTTTTAAACTTAGCTTTCCTTTACCCTCCAACTTCTCACCCCTCTGGAGGATAAGCACAGCTTGTCCACTCGGCTAATCAGTCAATCAATCAACCACAAAATCCAGCTGGGTGGGAGGCTGCGGTACTTTGCACGTGGTTCTGGTTCTGGGAGCACCCATCAGCCCTGTCCGGGGCTCCAGTTGAACTAGGTGATCCGAGAAGCCCTTTCCAACCTTAACGATTCAGTGATCCCCTGGGGGTGATGCCGAGCACCGGGATCTGTAAGGATGTATTAACACTACATGCAGTAAGATATATGAATATATTATTTGAAAGGAAACAAACAACCGAGCTGAGGGCACTTTAAAAACGTTCAAGCGCGTTAAAAACGGCGATACCCGGGTGGGAGGGAGGAGAAAATTTTTTTTTTTTTTCTTTCCCTCCAGGCATCTGATTTACTCCGTGACTCTGATGCTTATCAACAACGCGTGAAGATTGCAATAAGGATCCTCCCTGAAAGGCGAGGAGGAGTGACTTCCAGGGGGTTGGGAGGAGGTGGAGTGCAGCTCTCGCCTATAAGGAGGTGCCCAGCGCCCGGTGCCGCTTCCAGCTGCAGCTCGCGAGGTGCATTGCCGCGGCGGCAGCCGGGCTGAGCGCTCGGCTCGGGCGCTGCCGCCGCTGTTCGGAACGGCTCCCCGTACCAGGGCCGCCGTGCAGCGTCTCTCGGCTGCCCCTGCACCCGGACTGCCTGGATGCTGCATGGAGTAAATGAGCGGAGAAAAAGGGAGAGCACAGAGGCTGAGAAGCGCTCGGAGAGCGAGAGCGGGGGAGACAGGCGGGCGTCTGCTGGCTTCCCCCCGCTGGGCTGAAGATGGATTCCCCAGCCCTCGGGGCTGTCGCTTTGCTGCTCGCCGGTTTTTGGCACCTGGGATTAACCGCGACAAATTGTGAGTAGCAGGCGCGCGCGGAGTTCTCTGGTGTTGGGATGGGGGTGGGCTGGGGCGTGTGAAGGGAGAGAAAATCCCCTGAAAGCTGAGGTTATTGCAACGTAACCTCTAAGAAAGTTAGCCCGGCTCCGGTGTGCTAACCGAGCTCAGAAACGCAAAGTTGCGGCCGGATGGAGAGACTGGCTGCTCGCCGCCGTGGGCGTGCGAGCAAACGGGAGCCACTAGAACCTGCACTGCCGGCTTCTTTTTGCAGCCGTTACTCGCCCTGCGCCGGCTGCGGGACGGGGCCACGCGGCAATGCAAGAGGATCGCTCCTGCATCCTCGGTCGGGGCTGCTGGATTTGGGCGCGTGCAGCCGCGCTTCGACCCGGAAAGCGGCTGTAGGGCAGCGCGGGTGCCGTCGGTTCTCGCTTGTCGTTCCTCTTCTCTCTCTCCAGCATTCTGGCTGGGAAACCGCGGGTCACGCCTTTCTCCTCCTTTTTTGTCCTCTCGGAAGTTTCCCACGCGCTAAGGGCGGTGCCGCCGGGGTCCGCCCGGACGGGGCCGTCGGGGGGAGCGGAGCGGCGCGGGGCGGAGGCGCCGCCGGGGCGCGATAGCCGCCAGAGGGCGCTGTTGTTCCGCCGACGGCGCGGGGCTCTGCTCGGCCGCTGCGGGGTGCGGCCCCGCTCGTGCCCTGTGTGCTCCGAATCCAACTTCGGTACTGAGCAGGGCCAACTTCTCTATTCCGTCCGTTTTTCATTCCTTTCTTCCTTTCCCTCCCCCCTTTCTTCTTTTCAGTCGATTAAATTATGGTTAATATGTTTTAATAACGTTCCCTCCCGCTAAATGGCAGGCGATTTAAGGCTGAAGCTTGCCGTTACTGATGCGGTAATAAAGTTAATTCCTAACACTTAAGAAGAAACTCTGCATTAATGAGTTTTAGTATTTCACGGGTGACAGCTTAATTTCCCAGTGCCAATAAACATTGAATACGCGCTCCTTCCTAAATATTTAGGAGTCAATCTTTTTAAAGCATAATGATCAATGGTTTTATTATACTGTATGGCTTTTACTTATTCATTGCTCCGTGAATTAGCACAGAATCGGCTGTAAGCACTTTCCGAGGAGCTGAGTGAAGGAGCCTGTGAATCTGCAGTAGCTGCAAGTTCCCCAGAAACCTCATTAGGTTTGGAAGTGCAGATATCTGTATGCACGTGGACCTCAGTAATTGCCAGAAATTCATCACCTTCTTAAATAAATCATCTCTGTGTGCTGCATCTCAGGAAAGCTGGAGATGTTCAGGGAACGTTGGCCCTTCCTCAGCTTTGGGCTAACAAATCTCATAAATAGTTTGAATGATAAGTACGGAGGAGTGCTACAGGATATTTAAACAGCTGCATTGGAATGTCATTCTCGTACGGTTTTTAAGCTCCTGGACATGTCGTGCATTTTCCAAAAGAGGAAATCTCCAAATTTCACAAATGGAAACCTTAGCACAGGTTGCTGTCAGGGATCATCTAAGTGCTGTTTCTGTGCCATCTTCAATTTGAGTAGTTTGGCTGAAGGAATCACGTTCAGATGTTTGTTTGCTTGTTTATCAGTGAGCCTTTAACAGGCTCTTTTCTGACGAGTTCTGCAAATAAGAACAGAATGAGAGACAGATTATTATAGTGGAGAAGGAATATGCTTCTGGGAGGCAGAATGCAAGTGGTTTAGTTTTTCCTGGATATCTAACTCAGCACTAACTTAAGAAATTTTTCTCTTGCTTCTAAATTAGGAAACTCTAAAAAAAAACAAAAAAACAAAAAAAACCAAAAAAAAACACAAACAAAAAAGAAAAAATCCTGATTAAGTCAAAACATTTATTACCACTAATATGTTTCTAATTTCTTCTTTGCAGAGTTTGTAATTAAACAAAGAATTACTAAAGAAACAGCTCTGAAACACAGCTATAGGCTAGGGGTCAGTAGACATCATTAGAGAAGATCAGAATTCCCAAATGCTAACAAAACCAAATAATTTCCTCCCAGTTTGCTGCTTGTGATTAATTTGTGGCATTAGGATTTCTCTCCAGGACACTAATTACTAGAAAATGGCTATGTATACACATACATAATATTGGAATGGGTTATATACAGTATCTGGTGAAACTGGAATTTCTGCATTCATCAAGTAGATAAGAAGCTCCAATTCCTCTCCTTCTGTGTAACATGTCAGTTGCCCTTTACGGTGCTCTCTGTGACCTGGAAGCATTAGTAGCTTTAGTAGCTCTAGATGGACGGTTGTTGAGCTTGGCTTTTGTTTTTCCTTTTTCCAAGTGAGGTGGAAATGGGCTGATGCTTCTTCCTGTTGCCCTGAGTAGCAGTGCTAGTCTGTGTTTGCAAAAAAGAAATATGGATCATTCCTGGGTTATGGTCCTCAGTCTGGTGTTTGTTTCCTTTTGTTACCTTACACATTCTATCCCCCTCCTTTATTTATCTTTCTTGACTGTTCTTTCCTATGTGGCAAGGAAGATAAAGCAGACTAAATCACCTCCTGGAGAACTGACACCTTCCAACTCTCATTGCTGAACTTATTCTCAGTAACAATGGCATTTCCATTTCTAACACCAGCCCTCTCCTTCTCCCACAGAATCACAACCATTTCTTACCTGAACAAGAGGCTTTCAAACATTTTAATTAAATCCAGTCACGTCTGTCAGCTGAAGATACAGAAATCCAATGTGTGTTAGAATTCCAATTTCTATTGAATTTATTGATATATGTGGACAACGAATGGTCCACTAATCTGCTGCAGATTTAAATCTGGCCTTAGAATAGACAGTCTTTTCAGTTAAGGGGCAGGCATCATGTATTGGTCTGTCTATTTATCCTGAAATAGAAAAAATGTTCTTTTTGGATTAGAAAAAAATCAAATATTTTTCTGGAAAAGCAGCCCTTGTTTTGGTAGTAAGTGTTAACTGATGATTTCAGTCTTCCTTTGTGGTGATTTGAACTGACAATATTCGTGTAGGAATCAGACAATTGTAAGTGGAAAAACTTAGAGGGGAAATTCTGACTCTAAATATTAGAGTCATCAGGCTCTATTATTAGGGCATCAGGAGGTGTATTTGGGAGTTGTAACAGCATGGATGAGACCTCTCAGGTCAGCATTGATAAAGACAAGGGGTCTGTTAAACAGTAACCTTTATATACCTGTGGTCAGCAATGCTAAATTTTGAAGAGATCTGCTGAAAAAGGGAGAACATTGATCTTCAGATTGTGGTCTGAGGCTTATTTTCTTGGAGGCTGAGTAAACAGAATCAGATGCACATCTCTGGTTCTTCCTCTGCCTCTAGTACTTAAGTATTCTTCACAAGAGACAAGTATTCAGATGTGCTTTCTTTCTCTTAGCTTCACAAAGGGAGAAAAAAATCTATCCAAATGTTAGCTTTTTCATGCCTTCCCATGCAACAGTGGAAGAAATGAAATTTCCTAGGAGACAGGCTGTGAATGCCATTGCTGCCACAGTAAAGTCTAGTAAGGCCACTGCTGATCAGTGCCTCTCTTGCACGTCTGTCACTATCAATCATTCAATCAGTTTGACTCAGCTAGCCCTTGTATGCTTTGGATGGGCTTTCCTCCAACTGCAATGGTTTTTGCCATTGCCAGCCCACAGGAGTCTTTTCTTTTGTCAGTGGGGAAACTGAGTCAGTGTATCCTAAGCATGCGTGGAGATTAGATACTTAGATTCTCACATTGATTATACATTTAAAACAAGTCCCTTGAGAGCAATTGAATTGATCCTGTTTGGTGTGATCTTGTCCTGTGCTCTTTTGTGTCGTATTCATATTTGCCTAGCTGCATATAATCACTTCTAAATCCATAGTTTATTCCCTTCTTCCTCTTTCCCTCCTCTCTCTGCTGATATTTTCAGCAAGTGGAGCCCAAGTAGCTAAATACTGAAACGAGTAAGAGTATGAATGCAGTGGGAGCATCACTTTGTAAAGGAGGAAGTAGCAGCAGACCATTTAGCATGCCTCCACGGTGTCAGGAAAAAGTAAAAACAAACAACAACAACACCAAGTTTTTGTTACATGTTGCTGAACTGGTATTATTGATAATTAATTTGTTTGTATTAATCTTGTCTCTGAATTTTCTAATTGCCCTGTCCATGTTCTTGTGAGCTGACAATACCATCTGTTCGCTGGATCACCACAACTGATGATGTTTTAAATAGTGAAAACAATGCAATGTAAAACTGGGGGGGAGGAGGGAGAGGAAAGAGTTGCCAAAGCAATGATATATTGATTTATTTTATTATTATCTGCTCTGTTAATCAGTTAAAAAAAAAAAAAAATTGGGAGTTCATCATGAAGTGATGCAACTGCACTTCTAAAAGTGATAAAGCAGTTCAGATTTCAGCTATTTGCTCGAAAAATAATGGAAAGTAATGTAGTAAAAGAGAAAGGAAGAAGCCATTTATAAATGTCATGAAGGAACTTACCTGATCTGTATACCAAGAGAGGTGAAAGTGTTTTTCTGGCAGAGGTTTTGCCTCTGTGTAATACTCTCTACGTTTTAAAACCATGTGTTGAAACTCAGATAGTGTGGCCCATTTCCTGCAGAACTTCATGCTTAGAGATAGTCAGAACATGATCTAAATAAAAAGCAGAGGTTCTTCTAGGTAATGGTGCCTTTTATTTCACCCAGTTTCTGTTTACCATAATGAATATGCCACCAGTCCTCAATCTCAAGACTCCATTGTAGCCCCTGGAGCCTGATCCTGCATGGGCACTAATAACCAAATGTACCAGAATGTATGCGTGCTCCATACAGTGCAAGAGAATGTGATGAGTTCATGGACATCTGCAAGAAGATTTTTCTTCCATGGTAGAAGTTGTCTGTGGAAAAGAGATGGTTGTTTCACTTTTTTTTTTTTTTTTTTTCCCCAAGGGCTGTCTATCTATTTTGGGGCTGTTTCTCAGATGAGAGAGATCTTAGTTTCAGGAAGAGAGGTCAAGAAATGATTTGAATGGCTAC